TATGGGCTGTAATGCTGTAAATATTCTTTAATCTTCAAAATATGCTTTTATATACAAAATATACATTTTTTATTAATTTTATTACGAATTCAGTACTGGATAAGTCATTCAGAGTTTCCCCCCCGTTAAGCTGGACAAATTCAATAAATATACCCAATATAATATGTAAAAACCTAAAAATTCGCTCTCTAGACTCATATAGGTACTTACAACTTTTACAAGATAGGTGCATTAATGTATAAGGTTGTAAGGTACTAACATAAACTTTAAAATAACGTAGACTTATTCTGAAATAGAGTTGTCTATAAACTATAGATTTGCTTAAAACTTAAATAGGTAGGTACTAACATTTATATAAAATAACTTCAAACACAATATTTTCATAAACACCGTCTGCAGTAATTTACAAAATTCTCCAATAGTTATGTAGCCATATAGGTCTAGTATATTGATTGTTATAAAATTATGTTTATAAGAAATAAATAATAAAATTGTAGTTGTATATATTTTTTTATTACTTTAATAGTTTAATTATTTACTTACCTATTCTGTAAGTATATGTCACAATTAATTATTAATAAAACCGATGTACCTATTTGCTTATAGATGGTACCTATTATAGTTATAATCACCTTATTTTATTAATATGAGATCAGAAAAAATCCGAGGATGATTATAATATTAATTAATTATAAATTAATAACTATAGGTAATGATTGAATTAAGTATAAAAAGGTAGTTATATATATTATGAATCACAATTATTTATTTATATATTAAAATATGTGTAAAGAATTCTTCTGTATAAAGAAGAACGATATTTTTTTTATATGGCTCGAAAAACTCGTTTTTTGTTCATGCCTTTTAAATTGGATTATAATTAAAAATCTATTTTCTTCCTAGGTCAAGGTACATTCAATACCACTTTTACATTCAATGGACAGAACTTGAATGTAATCATAAAATTCTTTATTTATTATATGAACTTGATGTTGTGATACCTAATGATAGGATTTCCGGAAGATCGGATATAAAATCCGTCAACATTAGTCATAATAATAATAATAAGACTTGACTACTTACTCCAGTATTTTTGTAATATACAGGTGTCCCGTGAGGATTTATCCATTGCGATATCTCCCGAAATAATGGTGATATCGAAATTCTGGTTTTGTAATAAGACTCATAGGGATAAGAACTACTATTATTTCATATTTTAATTTATTTTAATGTTTTGGTAAAAAAGTTAAAAAATATATTTTTATATTTAATTATTTCCAAAAAAGTTAAAAATAGCCATTTTGTAGTTTATTTTTCTGAAAATATTGACGTTTCAAAATTTTATTTTCATTAATTTTCTAATTTTTAATATTTTTTTTTGTTTCGAGAAAAATTGAGAATTATTCAACACCATAATGTAATCAAACATGTGAGCATGTGACCCACCGCGCCTCGCGCATTCCCATACGGCCGGCCGAATACTTTCCGTGTTCCTAATACAGTGAAACTTCCATATAACGAACTTCCATTTAACGAAATCTTCTGTTTAACGAAATATTTTTAAGAACTATGACCTTCATTGTTAATTACACGTAAATTTATCTCCAAATAACGAATCTGATGTTTCTATATAAAATATAATGAAATAATTATTCGATAAAAACCAGTTTTTGTAAATGTTGTCACTATCAAATTGATAGTTTATGTCATAGTTCTAAAATTGTACATGAACAATGTACCCGACAAAGATAAGACACCGAAGGTAGGCAAACTGATTAATTTTACTGTAGTACACTTCAGTTCCAATATTGGTGCAAACGAGTATACATTCTTTCGTTTTCTCTTCGTCCGTACTTGACTATTGGTGATTGGTATCTATATAAAAATTAACTATCTAAGATCTAACCATTATTCAGTGTTATTTTTTAGTACCATTTAAACTACATAGGTATTATATGGATACATATTTTATCAACCTAGGTTCACAAATAACATAATAAAAAGTATATTTAACATTAACACTATTATTCATAAATTATAACCAATTATTGTTGACAATACTAACCTAACGTTAATACAATCATACAATCATACTAGATAGGTTTTTGACAGACATAGAAAGGAAAAAAAAATTATAGCGATATTAAGACAGTAAAAGGTGGAAAAAATGTACAAAAATCTTGTTAACAACATTAAATTACAAAACCAGCTTCCAATATTAAGTTAATTATTTTTTTAATGACCATTTCAAATTTAATATTGAGTAGGTACTAGGTATAGAGGGGAGATTGGGAGAAATGTTTAGATAAACAACTATCTTATTGAGTACCTACCTAACTACCTTAATAATAATATTTTATTGTCTAAATATTATGTTTCAATAATAATTTCTTAAGCTATAAAATCAATGCAAAGTAAAATCTTATAAGTTTCAAAACTTGACTTTACATATTGTATTTAGCATAAATTGAATACCTACAAGAAATAATAGAGATTACAATAAAATTCACAAATAATAATATTTAAAATATCTAATGTTAGGTAATATTAATTATTTCACTTTCAATTGATAGTAAAAATAATATTATTATTTACCAAAAATTATTAATTACCTATATCACTATATGGCTATATAAGCTTACATTGTTAATTTATTATTTTTTTAAGACATTTTAAGTACCTAGCCTTGCAATTCATCCCGGTTTGACCGGGACAGTCTCGGTTTTAACAGCATGCCCCAGTGTCCCGGCCGGTCATTAATTTTTCACGGTTTATGGAAGACGAGAGGAAATAACTTTAATATTATTTTATTTAATAATAAAACATAGAATAATATTATACATAATATTTGGGTTTAACATATGATGAATTTTATTTAAAAATTTTTTTTTGTTTATTTTTTTTTGTTTTATTATACAATCTGTAAATATATTTTTAATATGAGTATAAGTGTTGATAAGAGATAGAATAAAAATAAAATAAAATAAAAGGGACTGATGACTTGAGTGAAGAATCCATCCAGCRATGGAACTTCTTATTTAAAAATTAAAAGTAATATATCTGTATTGAAAATAATCATTCAACGGAAAAGTATCAACATTAGCTTTACACTAATTATTAATAAATGTAAATGCAGTAAATGTAGTTTGTGTATAAATTGTATTGGTTAATACATTTTTCAATAAAATAATGGATATTATTAATTTCCATATAATTATACTAAAAAATATTTTTATTATTT